ATAATACACAACAATTATTTTTGTGTCAAACAAAATACCTTAAAGTTAATACTGCAAAGTGTTGCCATTCAATATTACTTCGAAATGCTTAATGGTATAGACACTGCTGATGCGTCTTCCGTTCGCTAATGTATAACCAAGAGTCAATGAAGGCTTTTTTTTAACAAAACGCTTCATTTAATTCTCAAAACAACTAGACTATTGTAACAACAATTTAAAATAAGTCAGTGGTGAGCTAGTTGACAAGCAAACAAACATATTTACACTCTTTAAGTATCATTCTAAATGTTAAATTCTACAGGAAATAAAGCTACTTACTACTCAAGTTTCATAAATAATTGATCCTAAATCAAAGTATTTTGAGAGGGAAAGTACAGTTTATCCAGTTCTTATTATTACTAAAATAATTCACCTATACATAACTATCAGGCTTAAAGTTGTTATTCTAGATTATTCTCCGTTATAAAATAAAATTAATCCATCGTCATAATCCCTCTTAATTTGATGCCATGTATAATAATATTTTTGAATATAAACTCACTGCATGAATTATTTTTTCCCAATCCACTTGGTTTCATCGATACAATATTGAATGTATGTTTTATAAATCACTAATAGATTAGGTCACAATGGCTAGACACTTAATAATTTAGTATAAAGTTCATTACACTTACACTTTGAATAAATACAAATGGAATCTTTAAATTCTTTGTCTATCTATCCAAACAAAAACTTTTCCTCATCAAAATATCCTAATTAAATTTAGATATTTAATGATAATTTATAAGAATATAATAAATCCTAGACATAACAGTTTATTGATTACATAATATAAACATATTCAGGATATCTTTCCATGCAAACCAACTACGCATATATATATATATACTACTTAATAATAATTCAGTAGTACCACTAACTTACAAGCAAAAAGTATGGCTTAAAGTCGAGTTTGCAAACATATTTAGTCAATGATTGGTTTTCCACTTACAAGGGAAACATATTGTTTATATTCTTTGAAATATCAGTGTGGTGGTTAAAAAATGAAGTGAATAACTCTCAGGTTTATTGCTGATCATCAGTAATAACTTTTTCTCGAAACAATTAGCGACCTACTAGACAAATCAAAATGATCTAATATGAGTGGAACTATTTCCGTTGATTCTACAATATTATCAGACAGACCAAATGATATATTAAAACAGTTTGGTAAATCCGAAACAAGTGTGTGGGAAGTGATCATATATGCACTTTTTTAACCAAATAGGGTAGTTCCATCTACATCTTTCTGTTCGAATTAGTCTAACCATTTATAAATACTTAAGAATCATAATATCCCACAGCTTTATTTACAGTGTTTATCCCTTCCTGCACAGAAAGGTTGGCAAAAAGTTCGAAACCCTCATAGTAGTTGGATCAAATCTCATATTACAACAGTGAACCTTTAAAGGTGATCCGCGAAGGTAGTTAGAAGTTATTTTTCAAAATAATCTAATCCAGCAGTAGAACCAATTCCACTTGTTCAAACAGAAATTTACTCACTGCTTTCAATCTCTCTGCTACTTACGTGATAAAAACATATTCATAGCTGTTGTGTGTTAGTATTCATAGGAAAGTGTTTGGTTGGATGTATATTTTCGAATGAACTTCTGTTATGAACAACAACACAATTACCATTTCCAGGAAAATAATCGCTATTTTCAGTCAGAACAATTTGCTTTCATGTCATGCTGAAAAACTAAAGTAAACATGAGACTGTTAAATTCAATCCACAGAACATTCAAAAATCAGATTATGTACTACCTGGTAATCATCATCGAGGTTCACATGTCATCTTGAGGAAACTGACACTCTCCATTGTATACTTGTCCACCTCATCCATTATCAGTCAGATACATTACCACTAAGATATTCAGGTCCTTAGACACTGATTCAAAAGATTCTGACGATTGTCATCATAGATTATGCATAAAGGAGTACTACTGACACATCAAACAAAGCTGAAGCGATTTTATGCTAGAAAAAGGCCGTACAATTAGAGTAGGCCTTTGTAAGCAAACAAAATATTCACCTACCTAAAGGAACACACACATATATCCTTGCCCGAACCAAAATGCAACCGATATCTTCCCATGTGGTGTCAGCAAAATTACTATGCTAATGAGTAATATAGCTCGCCACACAGTCGTAGTCCTTTTTATTTACAGATGTAAATAGTTAAGCCTCAGGACGGTAAAAGTTCAACACGCGAATCATTCCACCCTGATATGGTTTGCACGCTAGGATGGTCTAAATTTGCTGGGACTGTTGATCCATGGGTCTTAACATACCATCCAGTTCGGTTGGAAAACAGAAAGACTAAGCAACAGCAACTTAAATCTCGACTGTACAGGAAAGTGAGAACAGTGAGGATTTTCCCCCAGCAACCAATATCGAAATCCCTACCTTTCTAACGAAGGGAGAGGTTGAAAAAGTCCCTCCTAGATTTACCACACCATATGTATCTCCAGTCCCTGTGGTTAGGCCTCAGACGAATGAAGAGAACGCATCAGAAACTATTTACAAAACTGTAGGTATCGATACCAAAGTTTGATCTGATAATCTCAAATAAATCTACAAAACTGCAGTGTGTAACTGATTGTGAACAGTTGTCTATAGGCCTCTGCAGTCGCATTTCTCTGTCGAAGAGGTCACTACTAATCCAACTTCTTCATTGGATTCCTCAGGAAGAAGTATGCTTTTTTCAGTGTTTACAACTGGAAAGCCACAACCACTATACACCTATAACAGCATGCGAAATCATCTTGTCCAAGAGTGTCATGTGACCTGATTAAGTGGAATGAAATGTATCATTCTTGTGTCGTATGAAAATGATACATCCATGTACATGCTTAAATCCCAGGAACTAATTCAAATCAAAGAAAGATTTGACAAGTGAAAGCAGAAAGACCATATACTTGATTTTCAACCATTTTATCCATGAATAGTGTTTAATTAATTAATTAATTTACTGCTTACGAAAAACTCAAAATGAATAACAGTGTCATAATAACAATGATACCAAATAATAATGTTATTAATTAATTAATAAATAAGTAAATTATTTAATTAGCAATAATGCTCAACTTTTTTTTATAAATGAAGGCAGGAAAAAAAAGCAATTCAAAATCAATAAAACCCATAGTGATCACGACAATGAAATAATAAACAGACTAAATAGTTGATTATTAGATCAACTAAATGATGAGAGAATGAAAGTAAGAAAGAGAGAAACAATATCTTCCCCCTATTGTATTATCACCATTTCAATTATCATAACTCCTCTTCAAAAATCAAGACCGTAACAAGTAATTTAACAAATAAATCATTTGAGAATAATTGAGCTAAATATGTGTATTTTTGTAATAATAATGATAGTAATAAAATCATTACTAAATTGAAGTGTAGTAAAAATTCACCGATGTTTACAATTTAAGATTTGCTAGGTTAAAACAATAATAATGAAGAGGAATAGAAACATCACAAGAAAAAGAAAATAGAAACCGATTAAATAACGTTAATAATTATATCGAAGTTATTGTGAATAAAATAATGAAACACTTTTTCAGTATAAGTTAATATACTAATTACTAATCCATTTGAGTAGTATGTATGTGTTAACAGAAGCAGCGTACATGCGTAATGTATAAATATTATCATTGCACTGGTATCAGGAAGATGTAAGGAGTAGGGCTTTTAGGCACTACGTGGAATATTCATGTTTTAATGAATACATTTCAAAATTATTAAATAAGTCAGTATATAAACAGCAGATAGTAATAATAATAATAATGGATAGTGTAAGCGGTACACTAGTAATAACAAAAAAATTATGAAATTAACATTAGTAGCCAATAGTAAATATTAGATAACAATAAGAAATAACTTCCTTTAACAAAAAAAGTTATTGTAGAAAAAAAACTGTTAGAAAAGGGAACAACCGAGACACAAGTAAAGCCAAACAACAACCGGTTTGAATGTTATTAATGACTTCAACTTCACCGTCTTGTACGTTGTGAATATACTATTTAATGTAATCGAATAGATCACTAACAGTAGTAATTGTAATAGTAGGCTAAACTTATGAATGCTTGAGAGAAGTTTGACAGCATAGCTGCCTTCCTGAATTGGCCATTGTCCCATATATGTGTATATGAATGCTTATTTTATGTGATGTATTTCTGAATAATTTCAGCCAACAGGATCACCTCACAGCACTAAATAACTTACTGTGAATACAAATAATTTTGACTGGATTGGAAGAAAATACAGCGTACAAAAAAGTGTTTATCAAAATGTTAAGCAATTTTGTTGAAATACCTATTATCCGTTATCACCGGAAACGTTCTATGTAATCACCGACTTTGTTTCAATATACTAGAAAAAGAAAAAATTCAACGTACAACTAATACTACTAATGGAAAGTATCAGTAATATCAGGAATAGTATTAGTAATGAGAGTAATGTTATTAAGCAGTTTTAAAAAAGATCATATTAATACTACTGTTGTGATAACAATAGTAATGTGTTAGAATGAGTAATAAATAGATGCAATGGCGCTTTAAAAAGAAGTGGACAAGTGAAAATGTCTCGAAAAAAAAATTAGAACGGAGAAAAAATTCGGATTCCCTGAACTATCATCCATCGTCGACAACATTATGAATAAACCTATTGAAATAAAAATGATATTAAAAAATGTTGACAAAAACAATGTAAAATGTCAAGAATTTTACTTGTTTTCCCTAATTTAAAAAAAAACAATGAATGAATCCACGTTGAATTAACGAAGTTTTCAGTGAAGTGTCCTATGAGCAGCATATGTACGTTCGATTGGAAAAAAACATTACAGTTTAGAATTGTTTTCATTTCTCCTCAAATCCTGGTACTATTAAAAGCATCAATACTGTAAATCAATAAATCGGTGACAGGTAACAAGAACGGATTATTGTCTTGTGGTTGTTTTATGTCTTACTTGACATTTGTGTATTGTTACTACTACTGTTACTAGGCGGATCATAACAGTTCGACTCCATTTTTATTTGATATTCCCTATTATTTTGAAATTGGTTCAGTGTTACATTTGTTGAAGATGTAGTCGGTAGTTGTGATAAAGGACTAGAACAATCCATTGAATTACTTTTATTCCCAGATGATTCATGATATTCCAAGCCCCATGTTTGTTGATTATTATTATTATTATTATTACCACCATTACTGTCATTATTCCCTGTACTATTTCCGACTGAGATTGATTTATTTGTCATGATTATTGTTGAATTGTTATCTAACAGATCTTGTCCACTTAATAGACGTGATCTATCTCTTGAGCCTAAAATCGATATAAGATTCGGTTGTGAATAATCTTTAAATGTAATAGCTTCACTTAAACTATGAGAGTTATTTTCCAATGAAGGAAATGATAATTCATAAGTGGAGCATGATGATGATGATGAACCAGAGGCTGGACCACGTACAGATACTTGTGAAGTACTTCTTGACATTGGAATTAACATAGAATCTGAGATATCATGATCTTCTTGATTAAGAGTTGACACTTTGTTAGATTCAGAATTTTGTGTAAAAATGCGACTTTCATTGTCTTTTACAGAATTATTTGAAGAGAAACCAAATAAAGATTTTGATCTATTTGGTGTTATATGGGAATGTAACAAATTAACTGGAGGAAGTAATGATGACGATTCATTAGAGATGAAATTTTCATCTGATACTTCATTTATAGTGTACGTTTTCCCAAGTGCTTTTGTCTTCCATTCATAATGTTGAATTTCACAATCCATATTCTTGTCTGATGTTAATAAATCATTTAAATCATCTAAAGGCTCTTTGAAATTAGTTAAACATACTGGTACTTCATTTAAACATGACAAATATGGTACAGCAACTCCAGGACAATGACGTTGTAATAATATAACACAATGTTTTGCTCGTGAACGCCAACTTTCTAATTCTTGCATTAATCTACTAGCTTCTAATTGTAAACATTCAACTTGTGATTGTAATTCTTGTGTTCGTTGAACTTTACGTTCACGACATTTTTGTGCAGATTTACGATTTCGTTCACGTCGTTTCATTCGACGATCTGCTTCATCTGGATCAACCTAGTTTAAATTGAAATATAAAAAAACAAGTAGGGATTTTTTTAAAGTAGCTCCTTTTTTTTAAATTTATTCTAGCTGCAGTGTAAACCATCAACAGTGAGATAGATGTATCTAGTTGACGAGTCCTAAATAGGATGAAACTCGTGTTCTGAATCTCACTGCTAGCCATCATCTATCTAAATTGTGATGTTTTTAGTACAATGAATTATTGTCGAGAACTTAATTTAGAACCAAAAATGCTCCGGCACTATAGTTGGTTACGTCTCTACAGACAGATCTGAGTAGCCGACTGACATCAAACATCTGAAATGAGTCTTGTTATCTCAGTTTTTCCACTAAACGATATTATAAGTTAAGAATGAAGTGAACCAAAAATATGCAATATTAAGTATAAATTATAGTAACCATTGTAAAATCACACTTTATATATAATTTTCACATTCCAATTATTATTGTCTGTCTGTTAACCAAATACTAAGCTACCACCAAACATGAAGCAGTTTTACACTCTAAATAGAAAAAGTGGGATAAGGGAGAAATCGAACTATGACTCATTATTATAATTAAAAGAACTCTTTTGTAATCTGATTGGTTAATAATTTGACCTTAAAATGTATCGACCTGAAATTGGTAGAAATTTAGCGAAACAGTTTGATTTACCTACGCCTATATGTAGTAAGGCCAGACAAAAAAAAGTATATTAGATTTGGCTATCGTTATAAATCCGGAAAGATTTTTCCATGCATTGAATGCATATTGATATAATATGGTCACGGTCTGTTAGAAATAAGTGTAGGGGCAAGCATATTTTTCGATTAGATATATCCCTTAAGAATTTGTATGAATCACATATTGTATTTTTTATAGTGAGGTATCTTCTGGAAACGCCTAAGGAATAATTAGAGTACACAGATCTTGATGATGGATCATCAAATATTTCTGTTAAACCATAAAAATTATTATCCTAATTTCTAAGAATCCAAAGCTAGGAAAAATTCTGTAGTAATAATGACGGTAGATCACATAATCAATGCTTACTCCGTCATAAGGCCAAAAAACAAGATACCTATAGGATAGCTTTATTATATTCAATCAACTGTACCGATGGGCTTCCAGATAAAAAAGCCATGATTGGGATGTTCTGGAGATATTCGATGTCATTTTGACTAAAAAAACGTAATACCATTATTGATTTTAGAAATTCTGTACTTCAGTTTTCTATTTAAACTTCTTTTATGAGCTTCCACATTATTCTGACATCGCGAGATATTCATTACCTTGTCCTAATTATACAGTAATGTGATGTAATAATACTCATATAATCACTTTATTAACAATCTGCAGTTCGGATCTCTAGGATTCTCATTGTTTGATTCTGGGCGAAGTTCGATTACTCATTAAACGATGTGTATGCAATTTATACATTGGACAATCGGATATCAATTCATGGGTTGCTAACAATACAGAGAATTAACGGTGAAATCCGGGTTATTAAGTGTCTTTTTTTCAATAATGAACCCAAATCTTTTTTATTTTTATTTTATATGAGAGAATACTAGGAACATATCAGTGACGTTTAGGATTTAAACCTTGATTAAGTTAAACAGTTTACTTATTTATGGCCATGATGATGTAAAGGGATGAGAAAACATGATGTTCTAAATTTAAAGATAATCCAATTAATTATCTTTTTTAAATAAACTTCATTCTAGCTTACTAGTTCGCCTTTCAGATTTCTTCGCCCAGTAGCTAATGTAGGTGCAGGTTTTCTTGTTCTTCCTGGAGTTTGTGGACAGCCACTGCTACATGTCGGCGTCGGTGATGCTTCACCATCATCTGATGAACAACCAAATTTATTGCCTGAAAAACCTATAGTTGAAGAATCAGGAGTCATGGTAATTGTGCTTGTCACCGGACTTGCTGTTGAAACAGCCAATAATCGTGTTGGTGTGGAGGCACTACGTGAAGAACGATTAGAAACTTGGGGTGGATTCTTTACATCACAATTGATTCTTGAGTGAAGTATATTTTGTCCACAAGTCAAATTAGATGGGCTATGTGTTCTATTCTCATAAATATTATCTCCAATATTGCAATATCCACTAGCTTGAAATGCATGATGTTGTGTATGGCTACCTGTAGTTATATGAGATCCCGTTTGATGCCCTGAATGATCGTCATGTCTTGGTGTTGGACAAGTTGTTGGACAACGATTCATATTTGAGAAAACCGTTGTATTCCCAGTAGGTGATAATACTGGAAATCCATTTACACATGACGACAATTGTTGAGTATCATCAATCAGATGAGGACGAAATCCTGATCTAGAGTTGATTTTCAAATCATCTGTAAGAGAACTAGTATTCCAATGTCCGAATTCACTTTCTGGCATATTTGAATAATTCATGTATTCATTATTATTGTTATCATTATTATTACTATCATTATAGGCTATAGAATCAGTCAACTGATTATATTGAGAATTCAGTAAATTAGTACGTTGATAAATGTAATTATTTCTTGTACCATTATGATAATTATTCGTAACACTAACAGCAGTACTAGTGATTGTAGTAGTAGGTGTTGTTGTATTAATATATGGTTGTTTAATCTCCATAGTTTGATCACAATGATTCAAATTCACAGCCTCTGAATTATTTGAATAGTTTAAACTATTTGATGTACAGTATGAATTGTTAGCACGATTAATACTATTACTATTATTATTGTTACTATTATGAATGTGGGTGTTTAACACAGATGGTCGTGAATAATCTGATTTCGATTGCAACAATAAATGCGGTGCGGGTAACGATGTATTTTGACGACGTTGTTCAGATGACTTTTCATTTGAAAAAGGAGATGGACCTGGTGTAGCCATGTGATTCATTGGATATAAAGTATTGTCATGTTGATGATGATTACTGTGAACACCATGATGATGTATATTAAAGTTTTCAATCAGTGAAGTCGATATATTCCCACTATGACGTTCATTTGTTAACTTATTTGAACAAGCAGATATTGTCGACATTGGTAAAACAAAAAAATTTGTAGAAACTAGTTATATTCTTGTATCTTGTTACCCCCAAATTTGCAGTCGATCAGTCATGAAGCTGAAAGTAAAAGAATAAACAAAATTTTGATATTGTTCCTCATTTTCCTAGGCATTTAGCGAATCTCAATAAAATAGGTTGAATATTAAACATTACTGTAAATTATAAGCAAAGATGGATAGTGGCTAGCAGTGGAATCCAGTACACGCGTTTCGTCCTATTTGGGACGCGTCAGCTGGATGTAACTGCATCTCAGAGTTTATGTTCACTCTGGGACTTAACTACTGAGTCTTGATAGCCACCTGCTTATGCAATGAGGTGAAGTTTAAATCCACTTCGCATTGTTTGCTTGTATCTTCCCATTGTTATTTAGAGGACGAAACGCGCGTCCTGGATTCCACTAATAGGCACTATCTATCATCCCTTATAAAGCTTGTGACTTAAGGCAATACGCACAGGATGCATGAAATCATATAAAAATTTTCAAACTACGAATAAGGCTTAATACATTTAACTTCTCAGGTAACGTTCATTAAGATAGCAGATATTTGTATAATATCTGAAATCATGAGGATTAATGAAGTCTAGTTTCCACTGAGAATATCAAAACTTAGTGATATATGTAAGTACTGACAAATAACAAAAAGGATGGAATGTATCTACTGAATATTACGGCTAATTATCCTTTGTTGAATAGAATACCTAAATCACAGAATACTCAAACAATACTCTAGTTTGAAACTACTAGTAGGTATGTATGGTCTGTAAAAGAACATACCATCAAACACACTAGTCAATAGTATATCCTAGTTTAAAATAAATTTATCGAAGAATTCAATGTGAAGAAGATCCATATCATGAATTTCAGTGAATTCGAAAATTCACATTTCTTTATATATTATGGAAATAATATTTTAAGACAATAAAATACAAGCGTTCGAAAGAAAACGCGATGAGATCATGGTTTATGGACGACCTTTGAGCAATGCTAAAATGGTCATAAGAAAGTTCAAACAATTATAAGTCCCAAGGAAGGGTTAAAAATGAATGTGAGGAAACGGGATCAAGAATTATAGTTAGAAATCAGTGTGTTCATCATGAACCAACACTAACTATAATGACAAAATTCTATTTAGCTATATGGATGAATGAACTTCACGGGAAAATGGAAATGTCTCTGTATTAAATCTGATTGATTCGTCCATAAATCATAGTGCCGTTGAAAACGCCAGTCATTGATTTAAGAAAAGTTATTTTGCTTTTCCTTACATTTACTCACACAAATCCATTCATACCTATCTAATTATTGATATTTTGGATGTAAGTGAAGAGACTTGGAAGTGTATTTACTGCAATAAACTATGGGAACAGATATGTGTCTTATTTCTATCACTGCGAAGCATGGAATATGTAGATGAGAAAAGTTCCAGTATTTTTACTAAAATGGTTAATTACGCAGGGACGGATAGTTCTAGTGAACTATGAATGATCTATTAATTAGTAAAACTCTCAATTAGAGAAAAGAATTCATGTATGTGCTTTTCATTTTTTGAGTTATCTTTGATTACTGGGCCCAGTAACACATCAACAAGTGAACAGTTCTTACTTTATCATTTGAAGTAGATTACAGTGTAAATAACAGACACATTTTTTTCGCTTATCAAACGACCAAAATAAAATCCTGCTTCCTATCCAATATGTCTATTTCTCTACATATCTCGCATTCTTCTAGCTTAAATATGCTCTCTAACAAATAATCACAATGACCTTCTAATTTGTTCTAACTAAACGACCTCGTCTGGCTGCTTTCGTGGTTGACATATCAGTGACCTTGACACGAATGATGGACTCTGCCTAAAATTAACGGTAAACAGTATGGTATCTCATGCGACCAAGGCACACACACACACACACACGTTTATAGTCTTAGTTAGACCTATGTTTTAAAAAGCTACCTAACTTGATCAACATCTTTTATTTTAGACTAAACTATCTATTAGAAAGGCGGGGAGAACTAAGGAAATAAACTTCCTATCCCCTTGTTAATGTTCTATCCACTTTATTTTTAGTCAATAAAAAATACACTTGAAATGCTCATTATCAACATATTTCTTCAATTAATGAAAATAAGTTTCACTAAATTGTAAACACAAACTTAGAGGGGAATATATAAAGATGATGTAAACATTTCCCTCTTTCTTCCAAACGAATTCCTTATTTGTAATTATTAAAAAATAAAAGGATACAGAGGTCAAGTGTTGTAACTTAAGTACGAATTGGTAGGTGAATAGCTTATTCCCAACTGGTCAAAGTTGATGTAGATTACTTTACGAAGTAATAAGTAAACGACTTAGATTCCTGTAATTGATTGAATAAATTTGCCTAATCATGGAAACGGCAATATGTGATGGATGAGTCATATCCCTATCTAATGATACAGTAAACTTACCAATACTCTATCATAATACGATTACATTGATGAAGTGAATTTGTATTAATGTGTACATAAGCCTAATGGAGGTTGATGGGTTATCTGTTTCGATTGCTTTACTTAAAAGTACTTTTTAAGAGCCACATAATAGACTTTGACACCTTTTGTGGGAAGAAAATGATACACAGAAGGTTTTTATTGTTAAGGATGTATATTTTTAGTGTGTAGTTCAGTACGAATTGCGACATTTTCAACATATCTCCGTCTGAATTTTAGTAGCCAGTCTGAATAAGAAAAAAACTAGCTAAAAGAATGTCAACTAGTAAAATCAAAAAATTGGTACGACTAAGTAATCATGTTGTAATGAAGGTCAATTTTTGCAGGAATTTATAACTAGATTAGTAAAAACGTTAACAGCCCTTCTTTTATGTAACTTATTTACCAAATATGGGCATATGTAGCTAGTTTTGACCAAAAGTGTTCATATGTGACTCCAAAATTTCGATTAGCAATTTGGTCCTAGCTTTTTCAAGGAAATAAACTGGGGTTAAATTGCCGAGGGAAACGTTGAATTTACTTCAGATTCAATTTCTGGGATTTTATACATATATTCTTTCTCTTTAATGTTGTACATTAACTCAGCGCCCAAATACTGTGAATCTATTCATTCAAATCTAGACAAAAGTACTTACAAAGTTTTAATGATAGTTTACAGAAAGACAATGGATCAAATGTTATTACAAGTGTGATGATCACTTGAGCTACATATTTCTGCGAAAATCACTAAACCTGAGATAAGTAATAAGGTTTTTAGCAATCCCAAAAGAACGAATAAACTATAAACTGATGATCCTTTTGGGGTAAATTTACGCACTTTTAATTAATTTAACTCAGATGATTACTAAGAAAAAAAAATGGACCAACATTTAAAGATTCTTGAAATGAATTTGGAAAGGAATTATTATTATTATTATGGGGCCAGAGAAATGTCAGTGAGCCCTAGCCAAACTATCTACCAGGTTGAACCGTTTCTATGTTAGATGGTAGACCACTAAATAGTTTACTGAGCCTCTTCAAAGTTAAGGATAGCCAACGCGAATTAATTAATTAATTAATTACACACCACAGATAGACATATGCAGCAACAGTTGAACTCTGAACTTCTCTAATCTGTTCTTACTAATACATGTTGTTGTTTCACCGATTCACATGGTTATCACAACAGGATAAGCCAGGTCAGGTACCAACTGCGAGGTGTGTCTTCGTTGTAAGCTAGGTTACACCATCTAAGTAGACTAAAATCATCGACATAGACGGACCATCTGAATTGGCGGTCGACATTAGGAATAAATTATGCTCATTTTGAGTACTAGTAATTACTTTTTTTTAATAAGTTGCAGTCTAGAAATTGTTCACGACGACAATTAAATAAATCGAGTAACTACGTATTTCAGTTAGGAGTGCATCAGCCCTACAACATGAGGTTAAAAAGTTTGACTATTCGCTGTTAAATGAAAAATGAGTAAATAATTAGTCATCTATGTGAAATTAAAATAATTGGAAGATTGACCTATAGGTTAATGTACCTAAGTCATAGATTTCGAGTGGTTATTCATACTACATTGATATCTAAACCAAAATAAGCGAACTTAAAGCTTTGGCATGATGTGATCTACAGTTGAGTGCGCTTTGAACAAATGAAATACAATGATTTAGTGATTAAAGCAATCGGCTTTCAAACAGTCAGTTGTAGGTTCGTTTAATAGCTTATCTATTATGATTCCGGCATCTGGATAGGTATCACTAACACTCAAACAAACAGTATGTCTCAAAGTTAATAATTAGACTTGATAAATCTACTGAATAAAGTATGCTTTGCGAAATTATTTATACAACCATTAGTTAACGAAAACTGTATGGTAATTTACAAGAATTATTTATGCTAAATAGTCACGTTATGTTATAAATGTTACACGGAAGCATAATTCTCATAGTAACTCCCTCATTTGTTTTCAGAATTTTAACAGCTGGGAAACCTATGTTCTAGCCCAACTGTATCTGTATAGAGTTGTTTGTTGTCTTTAGTTCTTCCCTAGCTATTCATTACTTTGTTCCAGGTATCTGACTTCATTAGTTTAGATGAATCGTCTCACAATTATTCTGTCATTCAGAATAAATTCGAACGAAAAGTTTAGTCATATTAAAGATTTCCATAAATCATAATTTAAAAAGTATCTGAGACTGTAAAAAAAAGACAATTCAGTTAAACAGATCATTTAATTTAAAGCAAAATAGCACATCAAATAGTACTCAGTAAGGAGAATGGAGTTGTGTCTCAACCAACTTAAGAACCTAATTTGCAACTTCTATAAATAAGCTCCCTCTGTTCCACTAATTTGGACGAGTCAGCTGATGAGTAACTCTAGTTGTTACATAAAAGATATGGCTTGAAGTTTAATCTAAGAACATATATCTGATTACCACTTATTTGCACTCATTCCACATATGATAAGATTGGCAAAACATTCATTTGTGCCTACTGATTCA